AACAAAGAATATTTATTTATTGACCAGCTTGGGGAAATTTCCTACCCTGAATGAGGTAAAGCTTATGCAGAGTCTGTTTATATATGATGGGAAATATCTCTTCTAGATCATGTGGCTAGTGAAAGCATCTCCTTAGCTCCAGCTCCTTAATTATAGTCACATGGCTAGACACATATGTGTATTTTCTACCAGAGACTTAATATATCTTGGTCAATAAGCTTCCCCAACTTCAAGACACTATGTTGCTTCATTGTTTGAGACCATCCCTTGCTTGTGTTTTGTGATTAGCTGAAGGATGACACAGCTCCTTGCCACTATTAAAACGGGAGCATTTGCTCATTTCTTTCTGAGCTGTGATTTATGTCTGAAATGTTATCAGTTTCTATGAGATTTGCTCAGCAGTCCAAGGAAATGGCACCCTTATGGCGTGTGTAAATTTTGAGGCAAAAATCAAAACATCAACATGTTCAGTTCCATGCAATATTGATAACAAATTAAAATCAACTTCTTTATTTATTCTTGCAAGTCACTTAAAATCAAAAGACAATAAATTTGAAAATTCTGTCTAGGCTCCAGTTGCCATTGCTGTGCTCACAAAGGGAGAAGAATACTAGTAACCAGCAAAAGTCATCCCAGGCATTTACTTCTGGCACAGTTTGCGGCACAAGGGAGAGGGTGCCGTAAGGGAGAGGCAGTGGTGCAGCTTCCCAGCCCTGCCTCCTCTGGAGTGCTGCCTCTGAGTGGGCACCTGCTAGAGGAGGCAGGGCTGGGAAGCCAGGGCTCCACAGAAGAAGCTGCATGGCCAAACTGCTGAATCACATCAAATTGCAATACAGTGGTTCATGCCCATCTCTTCATCTAATTATGAGTGGCCACCTGCACAGGTTGGAAAGGGCCTCCAGAGATATGTTGGCTGGGAACTTTAAAGCTCCTCCTCTGATCCTCTCCAGAAGTTGCCTACGTGGAGGTCTCCCTCCCATCCACCCACTCTCATTATTGTGCACCATGTTGGTTTAGGAAATCAATAGTTTAAGATAACTAGAGTTGCATTTTAAAAAGAGGATTGAATTATATGTTAGTTTATGAAGTAGATATATTTTGCTTTTGTTACATGCCTTTACAGCAGTGGTCCCCAAACTTTTCCCAATTGTGGACTGGTTAGGTGTGTGTGGCGCACCTGCAGGGGGGTGGAGCTCGCTCATGTGCATGTCGCACTTGCGGGGGTCGCTCATGCACATGCGCACAGCACGATCACAGGGGAGGAACGCGCTCATGCACATGTGGACATCACGCTCACACAGGGGGCTGCTCTCGTGCAAGTGCACAGCACACTTACAGGGGGCAGAACGCATTCACGCACATGCATGTGATGGTGCTCATGGGGGGCTCTTGCAGGGAGTAGGAGATCTGTGTCTGCGGCCTGGTCCTGAATAGGCCGCGGACCGCTGCCGGGTCATGGACCAGGGGTTGGGGACCTCTGCTCTACAGGATCATCACTGCTTGGTTGGCAGCTGACCAGGGCAATCTGACATTGAGGAGCAGGTCCACAGAGAGGGAAACAGGCATTTGGCCATTTCCCAGGTGAGGGATATGATGCAGGACAGCAGTGGGTGGGGAACCGACAAGGGCAGGCCCAGACTGGGTGGGCTGCCAATTTCCCCTACATTGGAAACCAGGGGGTCTCAGTGGGTTCACATCTGGGAGGTGCAATCCCATGGTTACTCAATTATGCAGTGGGATGGTGGAGATCAGATGTCAGGTGGGCTATCCAATTTGGGATCTAGTCCTTATGCTGCAACAATACTCTGCTACTGCAGTCAACCCAAGCAATGGCCTTTTCTATCCATTTCTCATTACCTTTTTGCAATAAAAGTGTAAAATGTATCAAGGTATGGTTGTCCATTTATGGGAAAGGGGCAGGGGGTGCCCTTGTTATTTTACCTGGGACCACAAAGTCGACTTCCATTAGCTAAAAGCTGCCTTTATTTCCCTTCGTCCTCCCTCCATATCCCTTATTCCTTCTGTCTTGTGTCTTACATTTTAGATCATAAACTTGGGGGCAGGTATTTATTACATGAAATGCAAACTGCTATGGGAGCCTCTTTTGCAATAAATAAACAATAAATAAAATCCATTGAGTTAAATTAGCTGGGCTTGGAAGTGTGTAGAACGTATGGAAGCGACAACCCAGTTTTTGCAATAATGGTAAAACGAGAAGTTGCACCTAAGGTAATATTAAACTGGAGTTTGCACGAGGGAAAACAATCTAAAAATAAAAGGGTTGCTTGGTCTATCAGATACACATCACACCCCTCCTTTCCACATAATTGTATACAACTGGATTCTTGTGTATGTAATTAAATGCTTTGTAAAGTATTTTGAACACTGGGTACATTAAAGGCACAATATGCAGTAAACATTGTTTAAAGCAAATGCAACTAAAGATGTGTTTGAATAATATCCACCAATTCCTCTATTTCCTCCTGTGGTTTTTACAAATTTGCTTGGTGTAAAAAAAATATAAAATGGTTAAACTCTAAAGTATACTATGCAATACGAGACATGCCTATACCCATTGAGTTCTCTGGAGTTTGATCCAAGGTAAATGAGTATAGGATAGCAGGCTTTATAAGGGGAACACTTTACATTAAAAGTTAAAGGGAAATGAGAGCAGGAAACCAAGAAAAAAAATCCCCCTGCAAAATAAATAAACCAAACAGCTTAGAAGATTGGAAGCCGTCTGGCAAAGGGGAGCATGCCAGCATATTAAAGACATTTTAAATGCATTATTTATAGATACTATTGTACGAGTGCAAGCTACTGAGATCAAGGTCACCCCATGGACTTCTGGGCAGCGGGTCAAGACTTGAGAGGCAATACTGAGAATGTCAACTGACAGTTTCTTGGATGCAACCAGCCAGTTTCTAAGCAGACCAGTTTCAAACTTTTAACGAACAACAAAAATCTGTTTGCTGTGGAGCTGCTCCTGTCTCTCCCAATCACAGCTCATTAATAATGGTGAGCAGCAACGGTACTGCCTATGGGGTCGCTCCTATCCTTCTCAGTTTCTCTGCATCAATTTTGCAACTCAGCCAAGTCCACCCACATGATGGACATTTACATGCAAGCTTGGCCGTATTTTCTTCCCGAGGTCTCGATCCCCCTCCCCTCCCACCAACCCACTCCGTGATATTTTCCAGCCCTTAAACTCCCAGAGCTCAACTCTTTTCATTAGGCTGGTGTGGATGACAGTGAGTTGTAAACTGTGATCGAAGCAGGCAGACAGAGCAATGCCCACGGCTCCTGGTACAAGAATCCTTAGTAGTACATTTCACTTTATTTTCCCTTTTCGGTCAGTTCAAGCTGTTTGTGCCCTTCCCCCCTCTCCTATGAGTGTTCTGCTTTGCATTACTCTTCCTACAATGTAGATATTTTAAAAAACAAAATACTTTAACTTGCTTTTTTTAAAAGCTGGATATTACACGTTTTGAGTATTTATTTCCAGCATTCTTTGTCTGGATGTTGATTTGTCTTGATCAACTTCAGATTGTTTTGGAAGAGTAACCCCCCTGCTCCATTCTACAACTACCCTATCTTAATATCTTACATCTCCACAAACATCTTTGCTTGATTCCCCCATACCCTTTCTTGTAGACACCCATGAAACAGAGCCATTTATGACAGAAACAGGCTGGGCATTCTTTGAAAAAAGGAACACGAACTGGCACCATGAGTCTCTTTAGGAAAATGAACAGCGTACCATGAATTTCTCACATGACAATGAGCTAGGACTGTGTATCACATTTGGACAAATCTCCAGTTCCAAACTGCACTGGCCTAATTGGGACGAGGTACCATGAGATCTAGTTCAAAGCAGAATGGCCAGATTCAATTCTGAGGCCAAGTGAAGTGAATTTAGAAATAATTTTGGTCCTGGGCCACAAATAGCATGCAAGATGGCACAGGAATTCCCAAAGTCATTTTCTGTTCTAGGCCTGGTCTTCCTATTTAAAAAACGTCCAGATCAAATCTTAAAAGTCCCTTGTTGCCAAACCCTTGAATCTAACTATCTTCTCTTTAGGGTCTATCAAGTCATCATATTTCACAGGAATTAATGCAAAAGCAAACACGTTATACATGTTTTGGTTTCCTGAAGGATAAGAATACGTTGCCTGCAGAAACGTACAATCAGTTTGGGTTGAGGACAGATTACTGACCAAACTAGGATAATGGTTTGAGCAGAGATGGGAAAGGCTGCCTTTTGAGACAGCTTCCAAAATGCCACAACCAGCATAGCCAACCTGGCAATCCCTGGATTACAATGTATGCAGTGTTCTGTCTTGTTCGGATATGTCACACTAACAACAATGAGAGTCCAGGAAACACAGGTCAGAACTAAAAAACTCCTATCTATACAATCAGTCACATTCAAAAGGAAGGCGTGGGGTATGAGAAATAGGAAAATTAGGGAAGTGGAGTGGATAGAGTAACGGACCAGGACTCAGGATGCCTAGGTTTGAATTCCCACTCAGTCAGGAAACTTACTAGAGGAGTGAAACTAGTAAGATGACTCCTCAAATTCTCATGCAGTGATGTTATTGAGCAGCAGAGCAAGTGAAATATTCTATAAGGCAATTCTAAAAAAGAGGCAGCCCAAAGAAAATAGTAATTTTGAAATTTGGATCAGCACCAAATTTGACACACATATAGCAGACTGTCTGCTCTTGCTCTGTGCCTAATTTGGGGAAGTTTGGCCAAAGGCTTTTCAAGTTATGATATTTTAAAGGTAAAACTGCCCCCCAGTGCATGATCAGGTAATCCTTAACGCCCCCAGATTTAAAACAGATCAAATAAATTCAAAAGACCAATCCTGCTTGCTTTGAAAGAGATTGGCTGGTCCTGCCTTTTTTATTTAGAAAGAATCCACTGGCTGAAATATTGATCCTCAAAACAGGCATTTCAAAATGGAAAAAAAAAGTAACTTTGTTACACAGGCTTACCAGCAAGAGCATTCCAACATAGATACACTTTCTGCTAGGGAAGGCTGAAGGACAATGTAAAGTCCTAGAGACAAAGTAAAAAGACAAGTTTTCTTTAAAGAGTTAAACAAACAAGCAAACAAACCCAGGCTTGCTTTAAAGCAAGTTATGGAGTAACAGTCCTCCAGAAAGGGACATTTTGCCATGTATTTCCAGGGAATTAGGATACAATTTTGTATTTTCACATAGGAAATGCACAGAGCAGTTGTGTTTGTTCCAGCCCTAATTGCTTTTAGTAAACATTTTCATTTTTGACACAAGTCTTCAAAGGGGAAATCAGTCAAAGTCTGGGGTAAACTGAACTTTTGACCTTGTCAGTCAGGGCCCAATTAGCTGGCTCCCAGGAAAATAACTTTTTATCTTCTTCTTGGCCAAACAGGCATTATGAAGGGATTATGTTTCTCATTATAAAAATATGTAAAATGATACTTTCAAAAATAGAGATTAAATATTCAAAAGCTGACTGGCTTAAATATGTGATATTACTGGTTTTTGCCTTTTGGCTGGAGATGGTTTTACTTGATATTAGCAGAGGTTCGGTGCCTATATCTTATCGCAAGCTCCATTTCACCCACCTTATCACTATACATACAATTGCTTGGCAATAATAATTTAAAATGCCTCCAAGGATATTATGTGTCATCAGGATACTTCTAATGCACAGTGACCATGACCTCCAAAATGTCATATAATTAACAGCTCTGCTCAGATCGTGCAAACAAAGATCACTACCATTCACACTTGTTGAAAAAACACTTTGCAATTGCTTTCTGTTTTGGCAAGATGTGGTTAGCTGATGAAAAAAGAAGTCAGCTTTTGGGATTTTCTCTGGCTTTATGCCACTTCGTGAATGGTAGTGAATACAAGAGGGCATCCTGCAGACCTGTGGTCCCCAACCTCTTTGACACCACAGGCTGGTTTAGCATGTGTGTGGGGTGGTGGTGGGCATCTCTCTGTGTGTGTACGTATGTGGGAGTACGTCTGTGCAGGTGGGGAGGCAGACAGGGAGCATGCATGCATGAGGGGTCCATGTGTGCTTGCATGCAGGGGCATGTATGTGTCCATGCATGCATGCAGAGGCATGCATGTATGGTGTTGTCACATTCCTGGGGGTTTCAAGAGCAAAGTACAATAGGACAGTACAATATCAGAAGTTCAGAGGATGCAGAGCCGATACCAAAATGCCAAAGCCAAAACATAAACCATATGCCAAGGTCAGGGTCCAAAGCCAAATCACAAACCATAAGCTGAGGTCAGGGTCCAAAGCCAAATCACACAATGTAGTTTGGGGTCAGAGTCCAAAGCCAAGGGTCCAGAGAACAAGGTTCAAGGTAGTTAGGAGCATGGATGTGAGTCAGAGATTTGACTTGCTGCTTCCACGAGCTTCCCAGCCATCTGGGAGCTGATTATATAGCAAAACAGTCATTGAACTGCTGGAAGCCTTCCATCCTGTCAAAACTGAGGACTAGCTGACCTGATGTTTCTGCGGGCAGCATTCAGGTGATCCTCTGACCTTTGCGTCATAAGTCTTTGCCGAAGTCTAGCCCTCACCCTGGCTACTGGGGGAGAAGAATCTGGTGGTGATTCAGCTGTCTGTGCTTCTAATCGCTCAGCATTCTCCTCAGCTGTAGTTAACCCCTCAGGTTCCGGATCTTCGGCTGAACTCATGACAGGTTTGTGTGTGCATGCATCCATACGTGTGTGGGAGGTGTGTGTGCATGTGTGGGAGGGGCATGTGTGCATCTATGCGTGCAGGGAGCAGGAGATCTGTCTCTGCAGCACAGTCCTGCCAAGGCCACGGACTGGGGATTGGGGACCCATGCTGTAGACCATTTTGACTGCTGCCATTGCTGTTGTCAACACTGAGGCTACTCTTTGCTATGCAAAGCTTGACGTCCTTTTTTCTGCTTACAATGCAGACATGATATTATGTACAATATTGTGCTGTAATATCGTGGCCGTCTCCTGCATTCTGAATTGTGTACAATATCCCACATTCATAAACTGGAGTGGTTTTTTTTTAAAGATTCAATATCTCGCTTACCTTGAAAGCCATATTAGGGCTGCTATAATTTGGTTCCAACTTGATGCCACATTGCTAACTAATGTTAAGGAAAAAGAGGACCAGGACCAGAAGCAAAAATGTCTTTTGGGAATTCTTTACATTCCAGATACAATGACTATCCTTTTGGTTTCTTAAAGCACTACAAACTAGTATAAGAGAAATCTCTAGTATATAAAATCATAATTATATATAAGGGAATCAGCTTCTTTATTACCTTGAAATAGTACTTCTACTGCCGCCCACAACTCCAAAGACTATCTTGTGGTGTAAGTCATTTCATATCTTATCACAACAGAGGCACATTGCTACTTTGTATGAAATATACAGAATTCTTTTCTATGACCAGGATAAGTCCAGACTCAGTATATTTCATTTCTTTCTGAACACCTCATTACCCGAAAGATATTGAATGGCTGGAGGAAGTTCAGAGAAATGACACAGGATTATCAAGAGGTTTTTTTTTTTTTTGAGCCACATCACTTGTGAGGAGAGATTTAAACCAGCAGATGTCTTGGATCTGCTAAAACCAAGTAGCTTGGGGAAAAATCATAAGCGGCAAGAAATGAACTTCATTGGTGGACAGGACTGTTTATATGAAAAGACATACAAAGGGAAAGAACGGCTGCGGAAAGATAGGGCACTGTTAATGTGTCACAAAAAGTGAGATTCTCTGATCTTGTTCAAGAATATATAGTGTGTGGAGGAATGTTTATAAAAGATGAGCTGAAAGGAGAGATAAGCTTTATAATCACCCCAGATTCTTCCCTAGCCACCCCGTACAACTGCAGTGATCTCTTCAAGTCCCTGCTCCTTCATTTTAAATTTTATTTACTGGACAGCATATTAGGAGTAGCAGGATCTGTGCTGCAGGATTAATAAGAGATCATTTGTTTGTTTGTTTGTTTCTCTGACTGACTGTTAGCTTGTGAGAAGAAAATGTCCCAGTGGTCAATGGGACCTGTAGTTTTCCTGAAGGCTAGTGCTCTATGGATGTGTAGGAGAGAAGGAGAAGAGGAAGAATGAGAAACCATGCCTTCCAGTTACATCTCAACCAGGGCATGGAGAAAAGACATCAAGAGAATTAGAGAACTGAGTTATGAGAGTTGTACTCAGTAGCGATATACAAATGATCTCTCTTCTCTAGATAATTGATTTATTGTGTAAAGGGACAATGTCTCCTAAAATTTAGAAACATTCACTTAGAGAGGCATAGAGATGAATTATTAAAAACTGGAAGGCCATTTGTTTTGATTGCTTACAACGGGATAGCCATTCTTCTTTCCTGCCCCTGTACAATTCCTTTAAGAGGGATAGTCTGTCATTTCGTATCATTGCTGGAGCAAGATATTTTCCAGAGTTTGGGAATCTTAATTGCTAGGGGAGTCTGGGAATTGTTGTCCAAATTAGGAATGATGCCAAGCGCTGGTCTTTCCAGCCCTATTTTCAACTTAGACAATAGTAACACACAGCATTCCAGACAGTCAGTATCAAGGTGGACAGGCAGGCAGGGAGATGTTTAACTCTCTTTGGATCTCTACATAGTACAAGTACTTTTAAAATGGCCAGAGTCAAGTTGCTTCCTGAGGAGGAATCAGGAACTCCTCCAGGATGCCAGTATCTGGGCCCTCTCGAAGGATCCTCTCCCATCCCTTCACAGAGGGCTCCGATAGCACAGCCTCGTCCTGCACTTCAAATGTATCCCAATCTTGCGCATCTTCCCAGATGTGTTCCCTGCTATCTCCACTGTCCTCCTTAAATCTCCAGCCCTCCAGGCTCATCCAGGTAGCCTCTAGAGCAGTGGTCCCCAACCTTGGGCCTCCAGATGTTCTTGGACTTCAACTCCCAGAAATCCTGGCCAGCAGAGGTGGTGGCGAAAGCTTCTGGGAGTTGCAGTCCAAGAACATCTGGAGGCTCAAGGTTGGGGACCACTGCTCTAGAGCACTGGCTGCAGCACCACCCCAGTCTACAGGTGAGCAGCAGGTTTGAAACCATGCCCTTATTCCTGAGGAGGGGGAAAAGCCCACTCCTCCCAGCAGGGGAACTAGGACCAAGCTCAAAACAATATGAACAGCTTAAAACCATTGTAAAATTGCATTAAAAAACAGAAGAGAACAAAACAAACACATTTTAAAGAACTGCCAGTTACTGAGAAAAAGCCTGCCTGAAGAGAAAGGCCTTTGCCTGCTTGTGGAAGGCCAGCATAGATGGGGCCAGGCTGGCCTCCCATGGGAGGGAATTCCAGAGTCTGAGAGCAGCGACAGAGAAGGCCCTTTCCCGCATCCCCACCAAATGCATCAGTGAGGATTTTAAAAGCCAAGCAGGCTCATGAAGAGAGACATGGTCTTTCAAATAGCTTCATGTGGACAACATGTGCCTTGTTAACATATATGTTATACCAGCCATATTATTAAGACACAGAACATATTATTTGGACAAACTGCATCGGATCTGTCTGTACTACAGTGAGACAGAGCTAAATGGAATTTCCATTTTTGACATTATATGTATTCTCTGATACATTTGTAGTAAAACAAAGCATGCAAAAGAGACTTGCTCTGTCTCAGAATTTAGGAATGTAAAGGAGGAGATTCTAGGTAATAAACCTCTAATCTGTTCTGCTCTAAGCCATTCCAAGTATCTCTATTCAACTGCCAGTGCTAGTGTTGCTTTTATGTCTGTTCCTCAAATTTCTCTTGAGTTTTGGCCGTGTTGGTGCTGGCCAGTGGAATTAAAACCAGCTGAGCCATTCCCATCAGTCAAATTGACAGCAAATAGAAGGTAGCAGACACTGTTTAGAATTGTCTAGTAAGTGACAACTGTTTGACTGGCAAGACGCCATGGCAAGCATGCTGTGCCTTTTAAAATAGGTGTCTATTTGGAACTTGGCATACATTCAGAATCAAGTTGCATCGAAAGTTTTCTAGCTACTTAAAAACCACTTTCAGTAATTACAGGAGGAA